TTCGGGGACATACTTCCAGCGGCGAGTCTTCTTAGTGGTATGTACCCCGAGCAACCGCAGCATGTCCACCCGTACAACAACGTGGACCAAATGCATGTTTTCCAGATCTGTGCACGACGCTTAAGATCCAGACACCTCGTGGAAGTCAGGACACTCCGCAGCCTTGAGAATTGGTTCTTGGCTGTGCTAATGCGATGGCGCACCGTAAGCACTTCAAAGTCAAACAAGGAGATAACACACCCCAAGTATATTCATGTGAACTTTGCGGGATCCTTAGGAGCTCACCTCCCAGAAAGCTCCACAGAAAGTCGTCCACAAAAATTTGCAAGTCGGTGAGATCTATGAAGTAGTCTGGCTGAAACGTAGCATGTGTAACATGCCCAAATCAAGGAAGATGAAGAGCATCCCTGCCGCGACTGCTTCCGGGACGCGGCACGGTGACCTGGCAGATGGTGCTGTCTGAAACTAGGCGGAGGTCTCTATTGTCAGCTTTGACAAGGCTCAGCTTCCCCTACCGCTGTGCCTTTAGGCAGCTGTTTGGCTTCGTGAAGCCCAGCCGCCGTCCGAAGCCCACTGAGTCAAACTGCCTCATACAACCAGAAAGGACGCTGGAAGCTGTCTCTTGGTCCCAATTTGGCAAGAAGCGACCAAGTCAACTGCAGTGCTCTCGTGTGAATCTGACACGCGTACTCTCAAAGGTTCCCCAAACCTCCATCTCCATTAGCGCCAGAGAAAGTTTTTGATTTTGTTTTTTCGGGCGTTGAAAAATGTGCCGCAGGCAACAGATAGCAGCAAACATTGGACGACATCAAAAAGGAACAAAAATCCATTTACAAGCCATGCCAGAAAAAAACAACTGGCAGGGTTCTGATTCGGGATTTCTTAATCGAGGCGGAGTCTGTGACTCTTCCCGCACTGATTTGACGGGCTGAATTTCAGCAGGCAAAATTTGGACGACATTAAAAATGGAAAAAAAAAACTGTCAAATCACCCAAAGAGCAAGTGAACAAAGAAAGCCGAATGCATTCCACAGGCTCACCAACTTACAGAATTTGGATGCATGTGGCGCGCCGGCGAGATGTGCAAGGGTTGTAGGGACGCCGTTGCACACATGCAAGGCTGCGAGCCAACTTCTTGAGACTCGGAACTGTGATTCAGCTCATCGTTTACTGTCAAGCTGTGGAGTACATTGGAAAATGTGCAGCGAAGCCGACAGAAGTTTTTGCGTAAGACTTCACCTGCATACATACATAAACAAGTGCGTCTCGGCAAACAGCAGCCAAGACTTTCCGTGTGAGAACCTGATGCATGTCAGAAGCTGAAGCTGTTAGGAGTGCTTT